GCGCTCTCTCTCTCTCTCTCTCTCTCTCTCTCTCTCTCAGGGATGCACCTGAGCAACGTTACGGGTCAAAACTGATGGAAAACGGAGAAAAACAAAAAAAGGCAGTTCAAAAGGACCTTTGCAAAGAGCAATCAATGAATAGCAAAAATTTGCCCTCCCCCCCCCGCAAAGACCTGAAAAAAAACCCCACCATTCCGTGCATTTTTTAAAATGATAAAATATTTTAAGAATTGCAACCAATTCGTCCAACAAATTAAAAAAAAGGATCAGAACGAACACGTTCCCTAGGGTGCAGAGGATGAGTTTTTCATTTCATAAATTAAACATTTATGGCTTGACCTCTTGTTGACCCTCCTCGACCTTTTGACCTTTTCACACCATTGACCCTCCTTGTCCGTGCATTTTTTAAAATGATAAAATATTTTAAGAATTGCAACCAATTCGTCCAACAAATTAAAAAAAAGGATCAGAACGAACACGTTCCCTAGGGTGCAGAGGATGAGTTTTTCATTTCATAAATTAAACATTTATGGCTTGACCTCTTGTTGACCCTCCTCGACCTTTTGACCTTTTCACACCATTGACCCTCCTTGCCTTGNTAAAAACACCGTTAGGGGGGAAAGATTGGAGGCGTTAGACTTTGGAGACTGGGTCCTAGAGCCTTCCTGGGCTGGGCGATGATGATGATGATGATTCAAAAACACCATGCATAGTCAGTCAAATTTATAAAAACATTCACTGGCACAGTATTATGTAACAGATACAAGTTTTAACCAGAAACCTAAGTCTCTCTTAAGCATCATCGAGTCACTGGGGGGAAAAAAATCTAAGCCGAGCCCCCGGTGTGACTTCAGTTTGACTTGACCGCGATTCCCAGTCCCTGCAGGTCGGTGGCCCCAACCGGAGGGAGCCGTGGCTGTTTGGCCATTCCCCATCAACGCACTCGTCCAGGTTTCTTCAGATCTTTCTTCCAGGCATGGAAGGCCAGTTGGCAGCACCCAGGAAGATAAGGGGGTGAACGGAGACGCAAATCAAGAAAGATCGGGGGGGGGCTCGTTTCGGAGAGGCGCACTGGAAGGATGCCAGCGAAGAATACCACGAATGACCCCCCCTCCCGAGCTCCTCTTGATACCCCACCCCTGTGCCAGGGAATGGCCCAGGGGTGGATTTTTGCCCCTGCTGCAACCACGCACCTCTCTCAGTCCAAATATACACTGCCAGTAGGGGACCTTGTGGGGTTTACTCCCGAGTCAAGGTTGGGGGGGGGGAAGAGTTTGTTGACTCTTTGGACTACTAGGGCTCCCAGAATCCCCCAGGCACCTCCAATCCATATATCACCCACCCATCCATATATCAACTCCCAGGACTCCCAGAATCCCCCAGGCACTTCCAAAAACACGCAGACTCTGGCTTGCTGGCCTCTACTCCCAAGGGAGAGAAAGCGGCGGTTCGCATGGCAGAAAGATTTTGCTCTGCCCTCACCACGAGGCCTTTGCACCAACTGCCAAATGGCTGTCTGTCTGTCTGTCTGTCTGTCTGTCTACCTACCCACCCATCCATATATCAACTCCCAGGAACTGGGGGCGGGGTAGGGGTTTCAGACATAGGAGGATCCGTTTGTAGCAGTGCTAGTTAGCTGCCTTGTCCTCAGTCACATGCACTTCCCCTGTTCTTTCCTCTTCTTCTTTTAGATCAACATTTAAAAATAGAAATAAAAATTTGTGGAGTGGGGAGAAATCAACTGGAATATACAGGAAGAAGGGGAACATGGGTCTGGAAAGAAGGGGATTATGGGTCTCGGAAGGAATCCCAAAATTTGCGGAGAGATATCAGAAAACAGAGATAGATAGATAGATAGATAGATAGATAGATAGATAGATAGATAGATAGATAGATAGATAGATAGATAGATAGATAGATAGATAGATAGATAGATAGATAGATAGATAGATAGATAGATAGATAGATAGATAGATAGATAGATAGATAGATAGATAGGCAGGCAGGCAGGCAGACAGACAGACAGACAGACATTTGGCAATTGGTGCAAAGGCCATTAGACAGATTGATTTCTGAGATGTGTATGATATTCTTTTAATTCTTCCTATTTTATGACAACCAATAAATGCCTCTTAATTAACAGATAGATTGATTTCTGAGATGTGTATATAATTCTTTTAATTCTTCCTATTTTATGACAACCAATAAATGCCTCTTAATTTTGGAGCCTCAAAAGGCAGCTCTTACTTAGCCATCTATACTGCCTGCTGTGTATGTGGGGACTAATTGCCGTCACCAAAGGTCAGAAGAACGACTGTATTTCAAAACGCCAGAGATTCCTCAGAGTTGTATTTTGGCTGTAAAGTTGCAAAATGCAGGGTTTTTTTGCGCCCCCCTCCCCCATTTCTGCTCCCACGACGCCTATCCGGCATCACGGTAGCCGCCTAGAGGTCCTCTCGCTCGCTTTCCCCCTCATGGCGGCGCCCTTGCGGAAGCTTCCGTACAAAAGGAGCGCACGGCACCCTAAAGTGCCCGTACAGTGACGTCATGAAGAGGCGCCGGTGCCTGTGAGGGAGGCGAAAAGGCGCCAAGGCCGAGGGGCGGAGGAAGCGGCGGAGGATGCTGGGCGAGCTGGTGGCCGGCGGGGCGGAGGGGCTGGTCCTTCTCCAGG